AGATTTTGAATTTGATTGAAGTGGAAGGGATTGTGACTGTTTACGGGAGGAGTTTGAGCGGCAAATCGCATATTATCGAAGAAGCATTTAAAGAATATCAAAACGACAATGATATACAGTTGGTTGAGAGTAATGGTTCTTGGGATAATTTTGTAAAAGTAAGAAGACACGGTTAGAAGCAAACACCTTACTTAGGCGTTGGACTCGTGTGAATCTGCTCATTGTGGCTTACGTATTGACAGTAGTCAAGATGATCGAGTATTGGATTGGATTCAATCATATTCGAAGAGAACAGTATGTCCCACATATCAAAACAATAATTGCTTAACATCCAGCTTTGCCCTCAAAATTTCGTGACAACTTTGAAATGCCCGAAGAAGATGAAGATAATCGTCGAGTCAGATTTTATCGCTCAGGGCTTAGAGGATTTTCCCTCCATTATAATAGAGAGTTCGCGAGAGGTATGAACCATATCATTATAATGAAATCGAACATCTCTAGTGGGTGACAAAGAAAATGAACTCTGACTTCTTTGTTTCGCAGCTTAAGAATACGGCTCTTGATTTCTTCGAGATAGAACTCATTCATGAAAGACTACAAGCTCTCTCATCTGTTTTGCTTGAAAAAAAATTCAAACAAGTGATTCAAACCATTGTGCTAAACAGCTTAATGAAATGGGATGAACTGAAAGACACTTATACAAGCTTGGTAATCTAAACTTGGTTGGCTTTGTAACCCTCTGGTTCTTCAGAAAATACCGACTGATCTTCTGAATGCCTGGCAGGAAACGAACCAAGTAGAGCAAGAACTATCCACATCTAGTACAGACGCTTGGATACAACTACTAGTTCATTTAAGTTATGTATGTTGTCTCTTTCATTTTTCCCATAATATTCGGTCGACATCGCTTAGATGGTCTGTGAATCCAAAAAGATAGCGCTAATACTGATGGGCTGCAGCGAGAGCTATATGGAAGTACAAAGAGCTCTCACAAAGTTCTTGTCGAACAAATCGTGAGATATAGGAGGGGTAACACGAGGTTAAGAAGTTCCATTCTAGAATCTGTCCACTAACAATTCATGTGAATAAATGCACAACAAGAGATGAGATACTTAGATACTCTGAATCAGCAAAGCTACACATGTAGGTTTCTTGAGGATATGCAATCACATACACTTATTGAAGATTTGATCATGAAACGGAAGTGGAGCCTGAGATACTTCTTGTGTTCACATTCGCGGAAGAAGCGTCAACAGATGTGTTCGAACTTATACGTTGTTTGTCAACTGATCAGGTTTTTCTACTGTAAGTGATAGTAGTCAGAAACATTGTTTCATAGAAAGTGATAATGATATGCAAACGCCCTCCAATATATGAACGGCTGTACAAAAGAATCATCCCGCTCATACGGAACAAAGACTGGAAGGTCAACTTCGTATCTACCTGATGCAAGAGATCCTTCAATTTTAGAGATCTTGGAAAATTGGAAACTTTTACGAGATAACAAGAAAGAAAGCCAAAGAAGGGATGGAGATTTCTCAATTACATGAAATAATTGATAAAGAGGTTGACAGGTGCTCCTCCGCAGTCTCATACTTCCGGTAAGAAACACATGCAGAAAGAGTTATAAGCTATGATTCAAGCTCGAACAACAAATTAGAAGAGAAAAATGAGAAAGAAGTTCTCATCGTACGGCAAGGACGTCTGATGACAAGCGAAGATTTGATCACATACTATAAGAGGTTTGTGGAATGATCTTTTAACATAACGTCTCGGTCTCAGTACACTAGATATTTTATACGAGGAAGCTGGAGAAATCCCTGTTTATCAACAGCCTATTGATCCGACTGTAGCTAGGTTACTGTGCTTTATTGAGAAAGGATTGGCAGCCTCACAAAACTTCATAATTCTGACCGAAGATGAAGGAAGTCACTTAAACTTAGAGTACCTGACGTCTTCTTGGCTGCCTATGATCTGTCATCTCAATAACATGAAGTACGTAGCTTTTCACGAATCATTCGAAACACATGAGAATGTCATAGTCGACAAATGGTCGGATTTTGTCCAACAGGTAGCTTTTTGTCATATCGTTCAAGACAGATGATATCACTGTAGCATCTACGCGAGCTTTCACTGTTAGACGATGAGATTGAAAGCGATTCTCCTTCCAAACTTCTTCTAAATGTAAACTCTACGGAAATGGACGATAGTTTGTTCGAAGAAGTATTGACCGACATGTATACATGGACGGTTCAGTCAGGATGCTCCTTACGCTATATGATGGACATTACTTTGTCTGACTATCATATGTCCGCTGAAAACCTCTATCGTAGGTAATGACTTCTATGAAAGAGCTGAATGTTTTACAGCATGGACGCAAATGGAAAGAAACTTGAGGAATAGACTTCAACTATCTCTGATTATGAATAGAAAACGATACAATCTGATTTGTAAGCAATATCCTGAAGTATGAGCTTCTCCATTTGTTTTAATATATCTACTCTTTCACAGTTACTAGATCAGTTCCTTTTGCTAACAGTTGAGAAGCTGAACTTTGATGCTGAGCTTATCGTATGCAACAACTTATTGGCTGAATGCAAAATATTCTCTTCGGAAGAGGTAAGAATTAGTGATGATAAAGAGAAACGGCTTTTATAGATTTCACTGTTGATTGAGAAGATCAAACAACTGAATGAGAGTAACCCGGGCACTAGCATAACTTCCTTAGTTGAAACTCTTATAGTATTATCTAAGAAAAAGAAAGAGGTTATTGATATCTCCATGAGCAGGTACTGAGTACTACTTCTTCTCGTATTCAATCCACTACTATATGAAGGTACAAGAATGGATTGGACAAGCTGAGGATAGCTGAAGAGCAAACTGTGTCCCTTAGGGCAGAGTTGCTTCATCTTCAACCTGAATTAGTCAGAACGTCCAATCAAACAGGGTAAACCATCAAAGAATATTATATATAATTCTTCTCATTGTTATCAAGTGTTTTGATGAGTCAAATAGAGCGTGAAACAATAGAAGTTGAAAACGCACGTGAAGTTGTAGCAGCAAACGAAAACAAAGCTAATCAAGCAGCGACTCAAGCCCAAGCACTCAAAGTATGAAAAGTTTACAAATATCTTTCTGAAACAAACACTCAGGCTGAATCGGAAGCTGATTTGGCTAATGCCATTCCAGCATTGGAAGCTGCGATTGATTCATTAGAAACGATGAATCAGAGTGATATCTCTGCTCTCAAGACAATGAGGTTACATTCTCTTCATAGTTATATAAATAACAAAATCGATCAGGTTTCCACCTTACGGAGTCAGGTTATGTATGGAAGCTGTGTGTATTCTGCTTGGCGAGGCTCCAGTTAAAGTCACTGACCCAGTATGTTTTACAAGTAAACCATCAAGCAGGGATTGCAAAATTCAGCTAGGTGGAACAACATACGATTATTGGATAAAGGGACAGAAACTGTTATCTGACATTCATTTTTTGAGAAGAGTTCGCGAATTCCCCAGGGATACTGTTGAGAACAACCAGATCATCGCTTAGTAACAGCTACTTACAGATATCAAACAAAACTATGAGAATAATTCGTGATAAGTATTTGAGCAAGAATGAATTTGACCCAGAGGTGGTCAAACAGGTAATGAAACAATTTGATCTCACGCAATGATGAGATTTCAGTGTTCGCTCGCAGCTGAAGGTCTTTGCCTTTGGGTCAACGCTATAGAGCTATACAATCGCATTTCAAAAATAGTAGAACCAAAAAAAGAGAAGTTAAGAAGGGCTGAGGTTCTCGTGAAGCAGCACATGAAGGAGTTGGATTCCAAGAGGAAAGCTTTACAGGTTTTTCAAAACTTTACCCCCTCAGCCCAAATGGCCCCACATTCAGAGAGTCACTGAGAAGTTACAATCCCTCTCCGACCAGTTCAGTCAACTGAGTCAGAAAAAGCAAGAATTACAGTTGCAAATAACGAATTGCGAAATACGTATCGACAGAGCGGAGCGCTTAGTTGCCGCCTTAGGTTTACTAGTTCAACAGATTAGATGAGCATTTAAAAACATTATAGAAGGTGAAAAAGCCATGTGGCTCACAAAGATAGAGACAATAGAATCGGACCGAAAGCAATTACCACGTACCTGCCTAATCAGGGCGATATCCATCCGGATGTATGGCTTGAATGAGTATGAAGATAAATTGGTAAGGACGTCTTGCAAATTGCTTTTCTCGAACTTGTACAACCGCATCTTAGCTCATTTAATCAATAAATGACTACCTGCAAATACGTGGAATTAACGTGGATTTCACGTGAATTTTAATTTCGAATATTTTCAGGAGAAATCAAAGAAAATTGAAAGCGTCCTCTTCACAGAGAGTAATACCAATGAAAACACAGAAGTGGATTGCAAAACGTTGTTAACTTCCTATCTCAAGCCTATCATTCTATTCAACGATTCTGGCTAGTGAAACCCCCCGTAGTCTCCCTCACACCCGGAAATAAAACAATTGCAGGCTGTGGATTGGAGTTAGTTCGAAAACAATTCCACTCATTCATAATTTCTAAATCCGATGAGTTTTTCGAGAATTTCCGAAAAGCTGCAACAATTGGCGTTCCGATGTTTCTCACGATTGATGATTTATCTCAAATCCCAAGTATTTACTTTTTCCAAAAAGGAAGTGAACAGGTAAACAGCTGCAACCCTCTCAAACAGCTTAAACTATTCCAATTTAAAACAAAAAGCAATAATTAGATTAACATAGAAAAGAAAACAAAGCGAAGAGAAAGATGAGTGAAGCATTAACATTTAGACATTCGTATGATAACACGAGTGCTTTTTGACATTCGAATTTCGCGCGCGTTTTGGAGAAGTTCGAGCAGACGGCGTAACGATGAAGATTCATGCAAAAACAAAAATGACTCAAAGAGTATGGCATTTGCCTTCGACAACAAGTGCCAAATACGCTTTTGCTCACATGCTAATGTTTCTAGTTGGCTATGTATGATGAGGAAACCGTTCCTGTTGGAGCTGGATACAGGCTTATCATCAGCTATCTATATGATATGAAAGAACTGTCTAGTCAGTTGGGTCAAATCAATATGAAGTTGAGGTTGCTCAGTGTTTTGAAAATGTAATTCATGACACCAGTTGAAGTGTACAAGACATGCGAGATAAAACGTTATTCGCCATTGGTAGCAAGAATTGGCCCGTCCTTCAATCTGAATTTCTCAGGATCTCTGATCAGATTGAGAAGAAGCGTAAACAGTTAGAAGGTGACACTACGAGAGCGAACACATTGAACATCTGCTTTTCGTTGTAGAAATGGAGATTAATATGATGGAGGCTCTTGGAAAAAAAGATGATATTGATGATGAGAATGCCATGGACATGTTGAGTAAGACGTACGAGATCAAAGAGGAGCTCGACGGACTCAGACTTGAACTAGTCAAAGTTTTTTTGAATCCATACGATTAGCCTTGAGTAGTAGTTTTTCAGAACAAAGAGAAACTTGATGACACAACAAAGAGATTCTCGAGTATCACCAGCTGGGCAACGAATTTAGTATTAGTGAGTGATCGTCTGAAACAGTTGAATACGTTCTATATCATCCCCATGAATGAACTGATAGCTATATGTGATGTGGTACTTCTGCTAACCAGTTATTCCTCAATGATATAACCCTCTTCCAGCATCTTTTCGATTTCACTGAGGAGAATCTGAATCTGGACGATGTGCAAGACAAGCTATCCGAGTTGTTCTGGTTGAAGCTTAAAAACATTTTGTTAAGGGAACATCGTATGATCTTCAGATTCATTTTAAAGAAAAAATGTTACTTGGAGAAGTAGACCACAGTTTCAGATTGCTTTCCCTCATTATTGCATTTCAGAAACATCTCGTTGACCAACGAGAGTCTCAAAGATCATTCTGATAGCTTGGACGATCTTCACCAATTGTCCAGCTTCATTCGAAAAGCAGACTGCAGGCAATCAGGAAGCTGTTGAACTTTCCTATAAACCTTCTTCTTCTTACAGGAAACCTTTACTAGTAGTGAGAGAGTTTGGTTCGTTAGACTGGCAAAGATTTGTTTGCGAGATCACCAAAAGTTGTTCTTATCAGTTTCTGTCACTTCTTGAGAAAACCTCTACGTAAGTCATACGATCCTATAAGCACAACCGCCTCACCACGTATCCATGCAAGAAATGAATTACGTGGATAGAATTATCTGATGACGTGTTGGTTCTGAAGCATCTAGTTTATAGGATTATAAGTCAGAGTTGTTTGAAGCCTGAGTGGATAGTTCTGCACATTTCATGGAGTGAAATAGGAGACAGTCGCCTGAAAAATATTGAAACCGAAGTACTTTTCTATCCGAATTCAAAAAAATTATTTCCTTCAGCTGCGGAAAAATGAGTCAACACATCCTGATTTCCGACTTATATTTAGCTTAAACTTCGTTAAAGATGCCGGAAGAGTGGGTGTTCCCTACCTTTGTCCATCAACACAGTTTCTCGAATTTCTAGATTGGTTGCCGATACGTGCAACGCTTCTGTTTGTCTGCTCTGCCTAACTTAGAGTCAGTCATTCGCTCAATCTTTGACCTTCATCACACTAAACAAGCCTTCGATCGTCTTTCGGTTTGCTGCTTGAAAGAAAAGGTTTAAGTGAGAGATTTATAGTTTGATTGCCAAAAACAATTCCTACAACTCATATGTTTGCATTATGGAGCATACATTCGTTGGCCGGAGGTGTTTCAGATGGATGATTTGACGTACCTGCTGAACCTTTATCAAGTTGGGAAGCTTTCAATTAGAAGTATTAAACTTTCTCATAGGAGAGTATTCAATCCCTTATTGACACTGACCAAGACCTTCGTACTGATCATTTGTACGAAGGTGTAGTAAAACCTTTATATCTAACTAAACTAACCACGAAGCATGAGAAGAGCATTTTGGAAACAATTTTCTTATGGATTTTCCAAGTATCCTTTTTCTTCATCACAGATCCAGATAGCTGCATTACAGGGAATAGGAAAGACCGATGATGCCTCTTTGCGGAAAATACTTGGTGGTCAATGGGCTCTGGTAAGCTCCCCGTGATAATGGATTATCGAGAAAAGATATTTCAGGATCCCTTGTTAGCGAAGTTGCGTCATACAAATGATAAACTTCTGAGTGGGTATTGCTCCCAATTCCTCGACATAGAATCGGAAGCTACCAAAGCTGAGGTGGGTGAACACGTCATTCGAAGACATATCATGTTTGCTCTCAGATATTGTTGACAACAAAGTTCATGTTGGCAATAGAGAAAGAATTTCATAAGTCAATTGCGAGCATCTCTAAAGGAATGAGAACCTTTGGACTTACGGGGGTAGAATACTTGAACTACGAAGTAGATTATGCCGAGTTCAGTGTTCGGAATGCTCTCATACTGGAATATCGACAAGCTATAAAGGCTGGAGAATTTGAGAGGTTTCAATGCCATGAAAGTTTTTCCTCATTAATGGTTCCAGAGTTCATTATATATCCTCCATTCTCAAGTCGTCAGATTTCTCGTCTATCGACGTCCGGTATATCCAGAGTCCCCGACGTTTCTTGGCAAAGATTAGAGCTCAATTCGCTCTCTCTAAAAGGTTACCGCTGAGCGAAGTGGAGATACAGTCATGGCTCCCAATAATGGAAGCACAAAATAAAAATTCTCAGACAACATTAAAGTTTACAAACTGCCTATTGTGCGGAGCGCGCATTGAACACGGCGAATTAAAAGTTGAGTGTATTGATGTAAACTATAGTAAATACAAATATAAATAGGAATATTGGAAAAAGGAATGGGAGCAACATATATCGATTGGCATCAGAGCAGTAAAACGAAATCTGATTTCGAATGATGATCAACAACGAAAAGTTTGTAATAAGAATGCAACCGTTCTGTGCGCATGCGTTTCGTTTGGAAAAAATATCCTGAGCAAGGTTGATCCATTGGTTTGGTTGTATGTATTCCAGGTCCTACCGGTGTTGACGAAAGATGGAAAAGTACTCTGCAATGTAAAAATTCGCACAAACTATCCGCAGCTGCATTGGAAGCTGCGTGGTTCGTACATCAAGACGTGGATGAGTTAACGATTGATGAGAATTTTATTTTTTGTTTTTGTACAATTAATACAATAGAAATATGAACAATAAATGTAAAAACAACCCGGAAGAATGAATGATTTTTGTGTTTGAATCGGATAATGAGATCACAAAGGAATATTTCACATTTGGAATGCTTTCACACGTGTTCTTGTTGTTTCAGTTTAATGACGTACGTTGATGGGATTAAGGCAAAATAAAAGTGCACAGAGCTCAGCAAGATTCAAGGTTATTTCATTATTTCAAGCGTTAATGTGGCGTCAGAAGATCAATTATCAAGAAGCTAAGCTCCACACTGAGGTTTAGATAATCTCATTTTGAGTTTGAGTATAAGAACTGAAGCATTTGGTAGATTAATGGCAATTGTTTGAGAGACAGACAGAGAGAGAGAGAGAGTGAGTGAGTGAGAGAAAACAGTTTGTGTTAAAACAAGGATAGTTATGTCAGACAACGCTGATACCCCGCCGAATGGGACCTAATGGTTGACTTTCTTCTACAGCTTCTTTGCCATTTTGCCAGCCCATGAAAAAATTCCTTTTCTTCAGTAGTCGAACGGAGGCTGTTGTATTTTCTCGACCTAAGCTACGATGACGACGTATTCGATCAACTCGAGCACAAGCACCAGCCAATGGAAATTCGACGACTGTTGTCGTAGCAGTTGGAATAGAAGAATGTCTAAAAGAGCATAAGAAAGCTGAAGCTTATTGAGTTTGAAACACAAAAGGTAAGCTTCGTTACAAGTCAAGGTAAGAAGAAGAAATTCAAGCTGTTTGTTAGTGGCAGGATGGCATTGAGTGGAAGCAAGCGCTCGAGCATTTTGAAACTGCATTTGAAAGAGAAAGGTAGAGGAAAGGTAGTGAAGGCACATCACACGTGAATTATTGAGCTCTAAGTAAGTGATTTTGAAAAACCATAAGAAGCATACAGAAAGTGCTTAAATGGATGATAAACAACATTAGAAGGTAGGAAAGAAATGATGATTTGATGAACTGAAGTGAATATATAAATCCTGAAAGTATTGAGGAAAGGGAAAGAAACAGAAGTAAGGATGTAGAAGTTTGGAATAAAAGAAATGAACGATAGGAAAGACCACAGGATCATTCTTGTATGAGCATGCGATGGCACGATGATGACCAGTTCATGTCACTCTACATTAGCAGCCACAGTTGCATACCTTGTCGTCTGTCGCATTAAACTCTTTTTCGTTTGCATCAACAAACGAGAACGAAATGTGGCTGATGATAAACAGAAAAGTACAAAATTCAAAGCTTTCCCCAACACAACCATAGTTGTGATGAAGGACATCTAAACTTTAATAATAATTTCGAAATCATAAACCAAACCAAACCATTGCCAGCATCCAAGGATTTGTGTTCGAATAGTACTCAGCCATGATCGTAGCGAATGCGGATGGACCTTGTGTTATAATGAAACTTGTTACAATTGCTGTTACAGTTATGGTGATCTATAATCGGAGAAAACGAGAATGATTATGTTCTGAGAAGAAACGTACTTTGTGCTCAGTACGAGACTGACCCCCGTTCAGATGTGATTCGGACTTTATGGAATGCTGTTGGTTCAAAAAATATTTTTGCCTAATAAATAACCGTTTGATCTGTAAATGTGATGGCTAAGAATACCTTTGACGTATCGTATAGATAAGCATTGAATTTGATATGAGTACCAGTAGAATGGGGATGAAAATGACAAAAATTGCATTAACATGAGGTCCCCATCGAGCAATGCTCTTGACAAGTTCCGAATTGGGATTCGTTTGATTAGGAAACCATCTGTAACAACTGATTAGAAGTACATTCTGCATGCAGTACGACAGACTTATCCGAATCCGTCAATATACACATTGAATGTATTTGTGTACCATCACAGAAATAGCGTGTAGCACATGAGTACCTCAGATGACTATATGATGTCAGTATGCCAGTGGTTATTACAATTGCTGATACGATAACAGCCGGAGTTAGAATCTGTATGAGTAGCAGAAATGCTATAAGCGATGATCCGAATGAAATGATACCTTCTTGTGTTTTCTGACAGACAAGGGATACTTGATCCCCATTAATCTCTCCAAGCAAATAACTAGTACTAACCTATAAAGGGAATGTTGGCTGAACAAAACCTTCCTCTTACCATATAGCTACAGCTGAAGCCCAGTTAAGAATTGCAAGCAAATGCATTTTACACAAGTAAAAAAGTCGAAAATAATAACTGAAAGGAATACTGTATAAGGGTAATGAGATGAACTATTACCTTAAAGCAAAAATTTTATAATGAGCTAAGCAATGAGGTAACATGAAGATGAGAAAAATGATATCAGCCACCGCTAATGACGCCAACAACAAATTCGACCTTCATAGAGTAGAAGTTGAAATAGATAATGAAGCATCAAGCATCACAAACCTTGTTCGCATATTGGGTGCAAGCAGAACAGTCAAATTCAAAATGTTTCCACTGATTCCAAAAACAATCAAAATTGGAACGATAGTTCCTATAAACAATCGTTCTGGACCATTAACTGCCAGCATCATCTGACGCTCCGTCAGACAATGTGACGATGTGTTCAGCATGATCTGCAATAATACATATAATGGAAGGAAGTAAAACGAATAATAGTTTAGAGAAGTTAAGATATAAGCAACCGCACGACGCACAAGCTAAACGGAGAAATGAATTGAAATTATGAATGCGCGCGAAATGTGTGAATGAAAGCGAGCTTCAAATAATTCTGAACTCCGCAATGAACTTATGGCTAAGCAATAAATCATTTTCATAATCAATAAAATGAAATCAAAAGATTGAAAGTAGGAATTTATGAAGAGGCAATGAGCAGGGAAGAAGGGGGTGGTGGCATGTTTAACAACGCCAAGTTACGACTACATCAATCTAATCATAATACAATGTCCATTAGGAGTTGAACAAGCTTCAATTCCAATGGGGAATCAGATGAAAATTCCTTTTTTTCTCCTTTTCTCCATCTCCTTCGCCCCGTCCGTTCACAAAAACTGGAAATTAACATAAAAATTCAAAAAAAAAAAAGAAAATTTTGTTTAAACAAGGATTGTTATTCACTCATTTAGCTCATCCCAGCACTTGTCCTCTTTTCATTTCATCTATTGAAGGGAGAGATTTCGTCTTCAATTCAATCGTTATTGATTTCTTTTTAGTTAAAACAAAATAATGTAAAGTAAAATATAGATAGATGCTTATATATGGAAAGCTTGTTGACCACATTGAAATGATAGCTGCTTGACGTATAAACGTCAGCTGTGATCAGACATTGTTTTCTCTCTAAAACAAACCACATACACACACAACAGTCTCAATGTCCTTTGGGAGAATAAAGTGAACTGCGATTGTTAAGCTAATTGTTTGAAGCGTTCAAAAGCTTACAAATACATATGCATATCACTCATCCTCACCAATCACATGTGAATGTGTATGTGTATGTGTATATGAGAGAGAGAGAGAGAGAGAGAGAGGGACAGACAAAGATAGATAGATAGAGAGAGAGAGATTGAAAAGCGAAATAATCTTATAACAAGGTAATTCCATCCGTTTGAAACAAAAACAAAAAGACTTTTTTACGTGTTTAGCCAGCCACGAACTACTCACCATCTGGTTTTGATATTGTCTTTTGAATGTAGAAAAGCACATGAAATCATATCGAAAGCTCATCGTTAGAGCAATCAAATAGTCTTGAAACTACAACTGCACGACTGAAGGGAAAGAGAAAGAGAGAGAGAGAGATAGAGAGAGAGAGAGAGAGATCAACAACAGTTTCTCTCATTTTCATGCCAAATATGCTGATTCCAAGAATTGAAGTAGCATAAAGCAAAAACTAAACTAAAACCAAACATCTCGTAGTACAGAAATGCAGACTGAATAGATTGTAGAAGAAGAAGAAGAAGAAGAATGAAGATGTCGAAAGAGAAAGAGAAACAGAGAGTCTCAGCAATGCAACCGCCTTCAGTCCCCCTCAAATCATCAAATTTTTGTGTTCATGAATGAAGACGGACACGTGAGCCAGAATTATGCTAATGACGCGATGACGAGTCAAGAAGCGAAATTCAATCGCCATCGCTGTTCTAACTTCTTTTTTTGGATGTTAAAAAAGAAAAGGAGGGAGAGAATGAGGAAGAGAGGGAGGTAGAGAGAGAGAGAGAGAGAAGGGAAATGATGGATCTTTTTTGATTTTGTATTAAAATTAAACTGGATGTTTGAGAAGTTGGTAGATAAAACTAAAATTTTATGATGTCCTTATCGCTTTACAGAAGGGCGACAACAAAAAAAGGTTCTTCGAAAATATGAATTGAGAATGCATGTGATTAGCAATGAGATTTATGAAGAGAAAGAAGAAGATGATGGTTGGAATTGATAGAGAGAGATAGAGAGAAAGAGAGACGTGTACATGAATGTTGAGGTAAGTGAGACAGATGCAAACAGGTGGGAAGGAGGAAGGAAGGGCGCTTCTTCCTTACGAAATGAAGTAACGACGAATCTCGTTTTATGAGCTCTTAGATTGCTTGTGAGTCAGGCGATTCTCAATTCAAACTTCAATTTACGCTCAGCAATTGTTCAAATTTTGTTAATTTGAAGATTAAGATGAAAAACATTTTGTTTACGTAGGTCATTCGGAGAAGCTTATTGATAGCCACAAGAGTGAAGTACCAATTTGATGATCAAGCTGTGTTGTTTCTCCTCATAAACATCATCATATCTTTCTCTCGCACTCTCTCTCTCTCTCTCCCTTTCCTCCCTCTCTTCCTCCTTCATCTGTTGAACTTTAAAAAAAAAAGAAAGCAATAAGCTATATGCAATATGATATATATGGAATAATTGAAGAAGGAAATTATAAGCGGCAATGATTATTCGCAATGAACCACATCGTAGGAGAGTAAAGCTTGGATGTTAGGTAGTCGAGCTGGATGGACTAGGAAGTTTACATTTGGTAACGTTACAACGACACAATGACCAGAAAGCAACATCTAATATAAATAAAAAAATTAATTTCAATATTTATAAGATTAGTCGAATTTCGATGTCGTTTGTCATTTGAAGCAGTTGAAGCTCTCGTGGACTCACTCACGTCATCTGACAACATTCCATAGTCAGAGGCACAACACACAGAATTCTCTAATTTCAAGAAGCAGAAATTGAATTTTAAAAGTTATTTGCGAAAGAAATGAAATTTTTATTTAGTAATAGGTACGTGGTAGGAGGGTTTTGATATGATTAACTCACCAGATCAACCGTTCTGTCACTCTCTTAACCAGATTCAAAATGAAAATGCAAATGAAGGCGTGCATGCGTGTATGTGTGTGGGGACGGACGTCTATGCTAATTTCACGTGAACAGTTTGCGTGAATAAATAGAAACGTGGCATGAAAGAGAAACTTTTTGAAATTAGTTCAACTTGACACAATGGAAGGGGAATGACTATGAGGGAGTGGAAGAAGAAGAGACAGACAAGGAGATATGCGAATGTAATGAGCTAACGTCTTCTACTAACTCTTTCTCTCTCTCTCTCTCTCTCTACATTGGGCAAGGAGCTTTACTTCACTTTACAGATGTTGTTATTTTGAAATTCATTTGGATGACAATAGGATGTGTCGTGGAATAGACAAGTTCAATTCTTAAAAGAGGAATTGAGATGAAATTTAAATATTTTTTCCGTCTGTCTAATCTTGATGCAGTGACGATCTAAGGTTTCAATGAGTTTATCATTTGCTCTCCCTCTCTCTTTTGAAAATGAAAGATTGGAGAATTAATTTATAAGCAGCATTCTGCCTTCTGCATCGAGACTCACGTCTTGCTGTTCTATTTCCGAATTTCTTAATATCTCAATTGCTCCCGCTTATGACGTCATGGCAAAGAGAGAGAGAAAAAAAAGAAGGAAAAGAAAAAAACGAAGAAGTTCGTAAGGAGAAGCACTAGAATAACGAACTGATCTCCTTTCTTTTTTGTTACTGGCCTTTTCTGAGACTTGTGAAGCCAACATGACTGACTGCCATCATCGTCATCGTTGAGTGTTTGCTTCAGGGTCAAACAAGCACTAATACGTGGGCACAAACAAGGCTTAAGACTATATATATGAAATGAATATATATATATATATATATATATAAGGAAGAACATAAGAGGAAATCGAAGAAAAATGAGAGGAGGATGACTCTGCTGTAGGTAACACGCGACGAGAGAAGCATGAAGAAGTCTCATACAGCCGTATTATGCTCATACAACTTATTAACAAAAGGAAATTCATGGCATTTCCTATTTTTCGAGGTTCTATTGAAAGAAAAAATTTATTGGCTGAGAGAAATAAATAAAATATCTCATCGAAACAGCTGTGATAATCGTAGAAGTAAATAAATAAGGAGAAAGGAGGAGAAGAGGCGATGCAGAGAGTAGTTGGAGTAGTGGAAAGCAAAAGCTTAGTAGAGCAGCAGCTTCTTTTTTCTTTTTTTGGTTCATATCGAGAGAGAGAGAGAGAGAGAGAGAGAGAGAGATAGAGAGAGAGAGAGAGAGAGAGAGAGATAGAGAGAGAGAAAACACCTTGCCTCCTACTTATAATACCAAAAAATACTTCAGAACGAAACTTTTTTAAATAAATTTAATTAAATGCTCTATAATGGGCAGTGTATGAGAGTGTTCGTTGATGGAGCAGTGCTTCATTCCTGTACAAGCCGACATCTCTTTGCCTCTTCTATCTCGTCATCTTACATGGATATGAAGCGGCTTGTGCATGAAATTCAAGAAAAATAGCTGAAGAAGCCGAAAAAGGAAAAAGAATGTCACAACAAGAGAAAATAAATTAATTTTCCGAACAAGTCAACGTACAGGAAGAATTTGGAAAAGTTATGAAGATGATGCTTTATCTTCGAATAAGGAAGTCACATACACACACACACACACACACACACGCGCATACACTCACACACACACACACAGACAGGGAGACTCAAGAGACGGAGTATTCAAACTGAATATTTGTTACTTCAATGACTTTTGAAATAGAAAAATAGCACTAAATGACAAGTGAAGAATGGAAAGTCGTCTCAAAATGGATTAATAAGGCCAGGAAAGGGGAAGAGATCGAGTTAACCTCTTGTGCCTTCTTTAATTATTTGAACAAGCTCCAATTGCAAATTTCAATTGAGGTATAGACGGCTAATTTCCGGTGCTCCGATTGCTTCGACTGCCAATGAATGAAGGAAATACAGCCAGTTAACAAGAAAATTTTTTTGATCTGATGATACCGACAGGAAATTCATTTCTATAGTTATATCTCATCAAATTACAACAAATCAGAGATTATAAACAAAAATGATGTTGCTCGAGGATATCGTTGACACAAAGTGTTTCAAAGTTTATTGAAATCACGAATACACACACACACACACACAGCCAATACGCATTCAACACTAGATAGCTGACAGCATGGGTGATCTAGCTACTGTGGCTTACTGTCATCGTTGATGATCAGCATCACACACACACACATACACACACACAATCAAAACAACCGAAAACCTATCAAGTAAGCTGAGAACTTATTGTCTTTGACTATATATAAGGCTTGACGGATGTTGACAAATTACAAAACTGCGACATAAACTATCAAAAGAACGTTCGCAGATATACTAACAAGTGAGCAGCAACAACCATATTTCATAAATGGAAACATGAAAGAGACTGATAAGAGTGATGTACAAACGACAAAGACAAAAATGAAACGAAAATACGAGTTAACTCTTGAATACAGATAGAAGATAGCTCGCCGCATTCAACTAGTACAACACACATGCCGTATAGGGGGGGCTATACTCATTGAGCTTGAAGCTAATGGCATGGCGTATCTGTGTGGCAGCAACAGATAGATTTATACAATACTAGCCATATATTGGGATTTAATTCAAAAAGTCTTAAGACACTTAATTGGAAAATAGAAATAAAAGAAAGTTTCATGATTGGCAACTATTTGCTGAATGACACCTTTGCCCTCCAAATGAAACTTTTGACCAAAAAATAGCCTCGCTGAGCTGGAACTAAGATGCACTTACGGACAATCGGACGCACAACATCAATTATATGAAATCATTACGCGAGGAAGACATAGGAGAAGAAGGAGAGCAAGACAATGAATTCAAGTTCAGACATCAACAATGAAATGACAAAAAATATAATAAAAAAAAAAAAGATTTTTTGTCTTTCCTCGAAATTTGATAAGTTCCTCCCAACCGTATGACAAAGGTCCTGACAAGAAGACAACAAAAATAATTTTGAAACGATGAGATAGAAGCTATAGTTAATGAAAAACATTGAAAACTTTACAAACACACATTCAGCATCTAATCACTACCAAATACGTACAAGAAAAATATTTTTTTGTTTACAAAATCGCGGAATATCACGTACACTATTGAACACTTTCCCACACACATACACACACTCACTCACTCACACACACACACACATACAGACAAGGCAGTGCTGTTGAGTGTAGTTGAGAACTTGCATAGTAAGATGGAGAAGGACATACAGCAGTGTTGTGAAGAGTTAACAACACATACAATGTATATGCAATGAAGTAATAAGGTATTTAGAAAACGGCGAAACACTTCTCTCCTATGTAACATGACTTCTGATAGATGAGATGGAAAGGTGTTTGGAGAACTGCCCTCCTCCTCCTACTTCTACTGTTCCAAGTAGTGGCCAGCTTAGTTATGCATAAAGAACATTATTTGATTGTTGTATTTAGTGAATAGAATG